TCGATTCCCCACTCCTCCATATGCAACTGCTGGTGTGACCTTGGGTCAGTCACAAGTTCTTTCAGAGCTGTTCTCTCAAGGGCAGCTCTCTCTCTCTCAAGAGCTCTCTCAGCCCCACCTACCTCACAGGGTGTCTGTTGTGGGGAGGGGAGGGGAAAGGAGATTGTAAGCCACTCTGAGACTCCTTCGGGTAGTGAAGGGCGGGGTATAAATCCAATCTCCTCCTCTTCCTCCTTCTCTGCTCCATATGTTTCTCCAATCCCCTCTTGAAGTTGTCTGTGCTTGTAGCCACCACCAATTCCTGTGGCAGTGAATTCCATGTGTTAATTTCTCTTTAGCTGAAGAAGTGCTTCCCTTTATCTGTTCTAAGCTTACTGCTTATTAATTTCACGGCGTGCCCACGAGTTCTTGTATTGTGAGAAAGGGAGAAAAGTACTTATTTCTCTACCTTCTCTATTTTGTAAAATTGCTGCCCAGCCACCAAGCTCTGGAGCAGTTACTATCTCTCAGCTGAGTTTGCATCATGGGATCGTTGTAAAGATGAAATAATAAGTAACGTGATAATTGCTCAATAAGTAATACAATAATTGCTTTAACTGTGAAGTTGAGAAAGCGGGCTCCAATCTTCAAAAGCTTACGGTAGAATAAACAAGTTAGTTTGGAAGGTGCCACAAAATTCCTGCTCATTTTGGGTCCCCTCCCCAAACGGCAGGCTCCATTTCCTCTTCCTCCTCTTCCGTCTCTCCCGTGCACATCTTCACAGCTCTCTCTCCCTCTCTGTTCCCTGTTCAGGACAAGACCCTGAAAGGCACGGTGTATCGCATCAGCGGTTCGATCCCCGCCAGCAACTACCTCCAGCTTCCCAAGACCAGCACGCAGTCGCTCGGCCTCACCGGCTGCTACCTCTACATCCTTTTCAAGCCCATGCCGACCAAATGTTTCGTGGTGCACCTGGATGTCGCTGCAGAGGTGGGTGAAGGCTTCGTCCCTTACCGTCGATGGCCAGCGTAGTTACGTGAGCCCACAGGGTGAGGTGGGGTCCACGAGCCAGGGGTTGTCTTTAGCAGTGCCTCCTTGCTCAGCCACCGAGGGGGCCTTCAGGAGCTCTTGCTGGCATCCCCGTGTTTGCTTGCTCCTTCAAGAAACAGCTCCCCAAAGCGAGGACTTCGCCAAGCCTGCTAGGGAAATAGTCATGCATCATAGAGCATAAGGGAAAGCAAGGAGTGGGAGGAGCGTTTGCCGTAATGTTACTCTCCCAGTGGGGCAGCAGAGGCTCCATATGGAAGAGGAAGAAACAGCTTGAAAAGGATTTGGTAGATTCATGGTGGAGAAGTCTGTCAACGGCTACTAGCCGTGGTGGCTGAGGGGGACCTCCACATTTAGAGGCACTAAAACTAAGACGGAAACAATGTGGGTGATGTCCCAGGAGTCGGATAAGAGTTGCCAAAGAAGCCCTTTCAGATTGAGTTTCCTGTACGTTGCAAGTTCTTGGGTCTCCCTGTGTTTAGCATAAGCGGAATGTGGGGGGCAGCACACGAGCGACCTGCCCCCTCTTGAGGAGGTCGTGTTCCGTTTTGCTCGGCAGGACAGCCAGGTGGTGCGCCTCTCCTTCTCCAACCTCTTCAAGGAGTTCAAGTCGACAGCCACGTGGCTGCAGTTCCCCTTCATCTGCGGGGCAGCCAAAGGGTCCGTCCACGAAATCACAGCCAAGGCGGCCAGGCGAGGTAGGAGCAGGGCGGCGCTGAACCCGGAAGTCGGCTTTGGGTCCCCCCGTGTCTGGCCTGTGGCGGGGTTCGCGGCCACGATTCGAGTCCCCGGAGAGAACCGGGCTGCAGGGTCGGGCTGTGGGCGGCTTCTCTTGCGGAGGGAGGGAACCACACGTGGTCATCGCTGCAAAAGGAGAGCTTCGTCCTCCCCTTTAAAAAAACAGTAGCCTCCTTTCCACCGTTCCGCTAAGCAAAGTCAGAAGCCTTCCTCTGATCAAATGTGCTCTCCTTCCAAGGCAGGAGCCATTTAGGGCTGGAGGAACTTCCCCTGGCCTAAGGCAAGATACTGGCCGACGATCATTTTATATAGTACCCTTTGGTTTCCCAAACTCTACCCATCGTCCGGTCATCATCACAACAGTCTTGTGAGGCAGGCCACTGTTGTTAGGCCAGGGCCCCCCCAACCTTTTTGAGCCTGCGGCTGTCTTTGAGATTTCGATACAGCATGGTGGGCACAGACACACAATGGCTGCCACGGGAGGCAGAGCCGGCCACAAAATGGCTGCCGCAGCTTATCTTCAGTCAC